ACCTAGTAATTTCCAGTCACCTGAGGACTTCCAAGCCAACGAGACCATAAACCAGCTTCACCAAAGACACTGCTAGCCTACAGACAAAATTCAAAGACCAGTGTCATGGAACAGTAGCATGGTGAACTCCATGTCTACATTTTTACATTTCTCTTAAATGTCTCTCTTTGATAGAACATGCTTGTTCAGTTCCACGGAGAGTAACATCAGTTCCACTAAACATACTTATTTAAAATAACTTACCAGTTATTATGGTCCATTTCTTCAGGAGTTATAACCCTATAACAGAACAGAGCAGTTATTCATATTTGTGCTCAACTACAAAAGAAAGTGAAGCGATATCTGCTCCAGAATGTATTTATGTGATGTACTCAGAGAATCTGTGTGGAATCAAAGTGACTGCAGAAGAAGCTATGAAAATATTAGATAAAATGATCCAGAACTTGCAAACATTGATGTTATTCACTAAGACTTCAGGGACTCAAAGGTGCAATGGATTATATCAACTTTCTCATGCCATCTCCTGCTTAAAACTAGATGGACAGTGGAGGTATGGAAGTTGCCTGACACTTGTACATGGCAAATCAATAAAAAAATTAGGAAGAACAGAAGTAGTGGACACCCAAATAAATACAACATACTGGCAAAGACTCAATATAGTGTTTGTTAAAGGAATTTCTGCCTCACTAAAGAATTAGATTTCTCTGTAGAGATCACCAGTTACATGGATAAGGAGGGACTCTGGTTAAAGAAAACTAGGAAACAAAGTCCATACCAAAGGTTTCAAAGGATACCAAGCAAGCCTCTGAAAAACATGAAAGGCCATTTGTATGAGTATTTAACTCATTAAGAGACAGAATGATGAGAAGGAAGATGAAGGAAGGCAGGAAGTAAATGATTGCTTACTTTAGTATGGATTTCACAGAATCCTCCACTGGGATATGGGTTATTCTACATAATCATAAAGATGGAGGAAAGATAAGCAAGTAATAAAATGATGAAAATTTCCTGGTGATCCTAAGTTATTCAGGACAGTAAAGACAAGATCTGACTACAGCATTGCAGAAACATCTTGCAATGCTGACCAGGGAACAAATGTCAGGCAAAAAAAAGTAACTGCAGATTAAAGTGACACAGATAGGAAAGTACCACCCTAGCTTCCTATATGAAAGCTAGCTATCTATTACACCTCTCTTCTTGAGGTGGAACAAACCTGCTTCCTCCAGCCTCTCCTCTTCCATCACATGCTCCACTATGTCAATGTTTTCCCTGGTACTGGGGAGCCCAGAACTGTACGTGGTACTCCAGATGCTGTCTCACAAGTGCCAACCAGAAGGGAAGAATGATTTCTGCAGCCTGCTGGTTACCTTGCTGCTAACCACTCAGCGTGCAGCTGGCCATCATTGCTGACTCCTGTTCAACTCTGTCCTCCAGGTCCCCCATGTCTTTCCCTGCAAAGGTTCTCTGTAGACAGCTGACCCCAGCCTGCGCTGTTGCATGGTGTTATCCTGGCCCAGATGCAGGACTTGGTATTACTGCCTTTGTTGGACTTCACAAGCTTCCTGTCAGCTCATCTTTCCAGCCCGCCCCTCTGTCACAGCAGCCCCATCCTCCAGCGTACCAGACACTCCTCAATTTGCTGCAGGGGAGTTCACACGCCTGTTGAACATGCTGGCCCATCATCCCAACATTCAGATCATTAATAAAGATGTTAAACAATACTGGCCTCTCTATCAGTCCCTGAGGGACACCACTGGTAATTGACCAAAAAGAACAAAAAATTACAGAAAAGGTCATTGACTACATACAGACCTCTAGCTTGATCCAATATGGCTACTCTAAAGTCATAACTCCAGTCTGAAAACTGTATCAGTGAGGTTTTCACATGAATGGGAAAACATCGGCTGTCGGCTCTTCTTTGGGCTATGTAACTCCAGAAACTTCTGGAAAAACAGAATACTGGCAGAACATTATGTAACTATACAACATTTACTGAAATGGGAATGATTTTAGCTGGCTTCAGAGAAAGCAAGGAACCACCACCACAGTAAAGCTCAAGGCATGTACCATTGTTAACTTATGCAGAATCCAAGACTGCCAGTAACAAAGTTCAGAAACAGTGGTACCATGGGCTTTTTGTAGCTATTTACGCTTTCATTTTGACTATATAGGCCATGCCAACTCCAAAACCTGACAGGATCTCCTGTAACAAGAAAGTTGGGAAAACTTGTTCAGTAACATGTGGGCACACAATCATTCTCCAAAGTGCCTGTGACAAAACGGGCCTTCTGAAGGCTGTGCAGCCGGCTGTAACCACAACAGGTCTACACTTGGGATGCTGGAGGATGGGTCACCTTCAACTATGAAAACTGACTTTGTTCTTTCAGGAACATACGCAGACAGAGCTCACAGTTCCCTCTCTGTGAGCTTTTCCCCAAGAACTTTCACCCAAGGCTGACAAAAACCTAGTCTGAAGTTTTTCAGAGTGCTTCCTTAGAACAGATCCAGACAGACAGACGGACTCCTACAGCTGTGAAGACACCCAGCTGCTGCCAGACTAGCGAACAGGTACATAATGGCAGCTGAGGAGGAAGTCGCTGGTGGAGCCACATCCTGGAAAGTGCTTTTTCCCTGTCTTTGCCTTTCCTCAACTGTTTAAATGACTTGTTATTAAATGAGTCAGCACTGACCACTCTAAACACCCTTCCTGACTTGTGTTGCCAAAAACTTTCCATAAAAAAAAAAAAACCCCAACATAATTAGACTGGAAATGGGTAGCAGCACTGAAGGAGATGTCTAGATTTTAAAGAACACTGTACTATTTACATGTGGAACACTGAACTAAAGACACCTATCCAGGAGAAGAGAATTCTACTTGTTCTAAAGAAAATTTTGGAGTTTGACCCCAAAAGCCATATTTTCTGAATTGCCTGCCACGTGCTTTGCACAATAGTGTAGAATTATTCTCTTCGCAGTATGGATATGTAGATAGTGAAAAAGAAGTGTTAGCAAATATGCTTAATACTGCAGCTTAAATCTGCCTTTTTTTTTGGTGGTACTATTAGAAAAAGGCCACATCAGGGTCTGAACAGATGTAGAGAAAATGAAGACCCAATTTAACTCTGTAAATAAGTTTTAAAATCAAGTTTACTAATAAACATATGCAATAACTACTCTAAGGGTAATTTCTCCTGCTGGGAAAACAGGAATCTTATACACTACTGCTGGCAGCAAATATACTCAGATACTATATAGTCTATAAGAAAAAAAATCAAGCTGCAAAATGCAATTTAAAAAAATCAAATAAAAATAACCCTCACATTTGCTGAGTAAGAATAAGCGGTCGAACACACATTTACAGTATTATACATCAATTAGGACAATGCACTGTACAGTACATGAATTTAAATAAGAAGCAATGTAGCCTTTTTTTGTTTTTTGCTTAAAGAAAATATATTTAGCTCCACAAGAGAGACTGAAAGTGAATTTGTCTGACATGGCACCTTTTGTTTCCTCTTTACTTAAAATACATAGTAAAAAGCAGCAGAAACATTCTGACTTTTTTTTAAGTAGTATATACAAGTATCACATAGCGCTTCTCAGCTTTTAACAAAAGGGTAAACTGTGAAGTTAACTTCACAGCAAGAATAAATCCCTTTGCAAGTGTATTTCGTACAAGCAGAAAAACAAAGTCCTGAGTGTTACTGCTGATACATAGCTTATGCAGAATATGAAAACAAAATTCTGAGATTAAGTACTCTATAAACACCCTTTCTGCATAAATGCCCAAAGCAAGCCAGCCAGCGAGACCGAACAATCCAGCTGAAACACTACAGACAGGACTGATAAACCAGTGCAGTAAGTGGAGCATTTTATCAGGCAAGTGTAGGGAGCTACTGCTGATACCATCAGCAACTTCAGGCTGCATCTGAATGGAGCTCAGGGCTCCTGCTTCAAGGGAACAAGCTCATCTAAAGGAGCACTTTACCAGGAAAACAGTAAGCTCCGATGCTCAGGCACCTTACACTGTATACAAGGGAAGTGAAAGATGCTTAGAGCTTCTGGAACGTGCAGTCATAGGTTTTTATGGTGAATGAAAAATCATACATGACATATTGCATGTGTAATGAATCCACAGAGAAATAAGACTGGTGTTCTTAAAGAGTATTCCAGAGGAATAAGAATGTGCACATCTTCACAGAAATCTGTTAAAAGTAAGAATTTAAGATACGCAGTGAAATTCAGCCTTTGCAATTGGAGGGGTTTCTGTTTACTCTTAAGCTTCATAGAAGTGGTCTCCATGTTTTATCTCTCTCGGTTTTTTCAGGAGCGGAAAATTCATTGAACTTTAATTTTACTTTGCCTTGGAACAAGTGGTTTAATCCCTTCGATGACGGGCTTCTTCAAACTGACTAGAATTCTTCAGAGAAAGAACAAATCGCCATGATAAGTAGAGAAACACAATTACCCATCACATACCCTCCCTTCAGCCCATCCATACAAATGCAAAACAAGGCTTAAAACAGTTTGTTTCCAGATGGGCTATGATAGTATAAACATAACTTGACCTCACCAGGACTAGTTATTTTTGTATAGCCGTTACACATTGTTCAAAGATTTTGTACAGATAGGTTTTCACTTGCTAGCTTTAACAATCAGTACTCGAAGTACAAAAATGCTACACAGCAAACGCTGTGCTATCTTCATACATGCTTTTTCAAGAAAGACAAATTTGATTGGGTATATCAAACACCAATTTTGCAACTACAGATCTAAAAAAAAACAAAAAGCACCAACACCAAAGCGGCGGCTGGCCTATAATTACTTAGGCAGGCTACTTGAAAGCCTTGATTTTTATTTTTTTCAAGCTCATTTAGCACCGTGCGGGACACATTAAGAGGTCACCGAGGCACAGTCTGCGTATTATTTAACGGCTTAAAATTCGGGCACTGTCCTCAGGTGCGATAAGAGCTCCAATCAGTGCAACGCTCGGGCCGGACCGCGAAAACACAAAGCTTCGCCAAATCCCCTGGAAGTCGACCGCTCTCACCCGGCACCGAGCGGGGAGAAAAGGAGACCGCTCCCACGCGGAAAACCATCAGGCGAGAGACCTGGGAAGCGGGGGCAACTCGGGCGGCGGCGCAGCCCCTCAGCCTGCC